TAACATACATGAAAAGCAGGTAAACATCTGCCGAATCTTTTATAGATGTTTTTAGACTGAGCCTAATAAAAAAAAACTAGTAGGGATATGAGACTACAAACCTCAGTCTCTTGCCTCATCTGGCTTCTCCTATGGATGAGGAATATCCCCATTTTCCTTTGGGACAGAGTTCAGAAGAAGCTGAGACAGATCCTGCTAGCCTGGAAAAGAATGCATCTCATACTCAATCCCATTGTAATCTTGGAAACGGTGACATTTTATCTAATTTCCTCTGGAACCCACTCTCCCTTCTCGCAGAACTTTGCTATTCAGGATCACCACTGCTCTAGACCTGTTGCCAAATCCGTGTTCCATGGCCCTTCCCATCTTTCTTGCCCTTTCCATAGCATTGCATATGAAATCAGATCCTCCTGGATAACACACGGCCCTGGTTTTGCTTCTACTCCCTTCCATTTTCATCCCCTAGGCTGCTTTCTCCCTTTCTTATGGGACTAAGCCATGCCTCCATCCTCTTTTTTCTCTACACTCATCCCTATTTTTTTGTTTATAAATACCACCTAGATGTGGATGACTACCAAATGTATATTCCCCTATCCAGAACCCCCTCCCAAAGGTAAGCTTGTTGAAATAATAGCAGCTCTCCCAGTGGTGACACACCATCTTCATTTTCCATTCAGAATGCTTACAATCTTTTATAGTGCACCCCACATGGATGGCCTCAGGGCAAGGCAGATTTCTTACACAACTCAACCTGTCATGTGAGAAATGCCCATGTGACAATTTTTCATGGTTTTCACACTTGTGTAAAGACCATTCTCTAAACAGGCAGTGGTCCTCAACCTTCCTAATGCCACAACCCTTTAATACAGTTCCTCATGTTGTAGTGACCCCCAACCATAAAATTATTTTCGTTGCTACTTCATAACTGTAATTTTGCTACTGTTATGAATCGTAATGTAAATATCTGATATGCAGGATGTATTTTCATTGTTACAAATTGAACATAATTAAAGCATAGTGATTAATCACAAAAACAATATGTAATTATATATGTGTTTTCCGATGGTCTTAGGCGACCCCTTGTGAAAGGGTCGTTCGACCCCCAAAGGGGTCGTGACCCACAGGTTGAGAACCGCTGGGTTAGAGAAACTGTAGCCTAGTGAAGAGGAAGAGTGATTTCAGCTAGGATAAAGGGACTGGATGAGGGTACCATGAACATCAAACATCTTCTTGCTCAGCCACACACCATAGATGTTTTTAAACTCCTTTTGCTTTCATGGCTCTGTTATGTCTATTAATATCTATTATGGATGGTGAGGAACTGAAAAAAATGCTGCAGAGAAACCAATCCTTATCATCCACAGCAAATGTCCTATGAACATGGAACATTTCTATCACCCTTGAATTATAATACCAGATTGCTATTGCTTTACCGGCTCTTTTATTCATTTAATAGTCATCGTTTTTTTCTCTCCTTTAGAAGAAGAAAACAGTTAACTCCATCTAAAGACTCTGGATTAAGACATTAGAGTAGCCTCAGTTTGCTTAGCTGTAAAATGGGAAAATAACTCCTCATAATCAAAGAGTAAGATAAATACTGCATTAAAAATGTGGTATTGCTGCCCTGACCAGTTTGGCTTGGTGGTTAGAACGTCAAACCTCTGACCAAAGGGTCTGGGTTCAATTCCTAGTCTAGGGCATGTACCTGGGCTGCAGGCCCAATCCTGTTCAAGTTGTATATAGATGACAACCCATTGATGGTTCTTTCTCTTTAAAAATAAATGGGAAAAAATACCCTTGGGTGAGGATTACTATATATATGTGTGTGTATATATATATACACACACATATATATATACATACACATATATACACATACATATATACACACATATGTATATATACATATGTGTGTATGTATATATTGTTGCTTATTAAAGTGAAGTGTTATGAACATATAAAAACATAATTTGTAATTATGCATGCAACCCCATTTTTCACAAGGAACCATGGAGTAAGCCAACATGTAGTCTGAAGCAGAACAATATTTGCAGAATTCTGACAATATGCACACAAGTAGGCTGCATAATTTCAGAGCAAAGCTAAAACACAGGCTCTTGAATCTCAATTTACATCAGGAGTATTCACTTCCAGAAGATAATCTCTTTACTGAACACAGTGTATATGTAGATAAACTAGAATCTTCTATAATTAAAAAGAAGGTTCTATTTCCTTCTGATAATGTTTTTAAATCCATTAAAGTTTTAAGACACATAAAATGAGAAACACTGTTACCTCAAAAGGCTAAAGACAAAATGCCCATGTTTCCTTTCTCTTGGAAATTCATGTGCTTTGAAAATTGAGATCAATGAATGAATTTTAAGACAATGGCTATAGTTATTCTACCTGGGCAGGATGTAAAAGCTTAAACTATTAGACTAAGGTTATTCACAGAGGTTGGTAACCATTTTCCTCCTAGGATGAAACCAGAGACCATAAAGCCAATGGCTAAACACAAATAACTTCTGGTGTGTGCAAATTACGGAAAAATAAAAATGATTTACTTGAGGGATTATGGGTTTGACTTCTCTGGGAGTCACTATCTACCACTATTAATGGATAATTTGGACCATTTGTTGAGTACTTACTTATGGGCCTGGCATTGCACTAGGATGTATATAACTCTTTAAATCTTCTTAACAATCACTTTTGGTTGTTTGGCAGGTCTTAGCTTTTTGCCCATTTTATATAATGGCTCAAGGAGTTGGAGGACCTGGCCCAATATTAAAAATCCGAACTTTTTCTGTGAAAAACATTCTTTGAGATGAGCAGGTATTTTCCTGGCTGGGGGAAAAAACAACCCAGATGAAAATTATCTCCAGACCAGCTAACAGAAAGACTAAAGATCTTAAATACATAGCTTAACCAAGTTAAAATACATAATTTAAGCTAGGAAATAGGAAGATGTGACCAGGCAGGAGCTTCTGTGAAAAGAAGGTTGAGACTATTTGAAATGCACCTGAGATTATGAGAACCATGAGATGTAGAATTCAGATTAGAAGCCTGTGCATTTTTTTCTGGGTGCCATCCTAGAAGGACACCAGACCACCAGGTCAGTGTTTTAAGAGGGCAGTTGCCATGAGGAAACAAAAGATCTGCAAACTGTGTTCCATGTAGAATAGCTGGACAACCTAAGGTGATTTAACTGGGAAGAAAAGATTCTAAGGTCTATGTATCCTCTTTGAATCAAAGGAAGGGACTACCTTGTTGAGGAACAATTCATCGTGTACCTTGTGACAGCAAGAATTGAATTTCTGGAAGTTGCAAGGAGTCAGGCCTATCTTTCTTATACTGGATTTACATAGAACAGCCCAAGCTGTCCAAGTTCGGATGAGAATAAACAGCCTTGAGAGCCAACAAGTCCCCTGTTGTCTGTGGTACATAAGCACAATAGACAGAGGTTAGCAGAGGGGACATTCAGGCACTACATTACTCTGAACGCTCTCCTAACTGAGGATACTTCAGATCTTTGATACAATTTATTCTGATTCTGGGATTTAGAGAAAAAATGTGGTGACACAGCCCTTAAAAATTATCTAGGCTTTTAGTATTAAAATTGAAAAGATAGAAAATTACCCATTAGTGAAATAGCCCTGGGGCACATACATTTCCTTTATTTTCAGGTTAGCAACATCAATGTTTTTCTTGCTCACTGTTCCTCTCAGAATGCCAAGGACATAGATAGCATCAGGGTCTAACTGATTTCTCAAAATACATTCAATATGCTGTTCCCTTTCAAAGAAGAGAAAGGTCACAGCCATCATCTACAAGATTTGCATGATCAGGTTTGAAGGAACTTAACTAGTTTTTTAGCACCCAATGTATTCTAACTCTTTCACAAAGAACAAGTTCTCTAACCTTTGAGACTTAACCAGCTGTGTTCCCCATTAGATGGGTCAGGAAACTGAGGCCTGGAGAAGTATCTTGCCTAATGTCTCACATCCAGTGCAGTGACAGTTAGGTGCCCATCTCAGATTTCAGTGGCGGGGACTTCCTAACCAGAGGGAGGAGTATGGGTTCCACCAAGTTGGGAGCCCACCTGGCCTGCCAGGTGACAGCTACCACACCACAGCAGGGGGCATGTAACTTCATTTGAGTTATCTTGGCAAAAGCTCAGGAACCAAAAAATTAAAGACAACCAAAAATATCCATCTCAGAAGCCTCATCAAAGGCCTCATTCATTACCTCAGCATTCAGCTTGAAGAAAAGCACCCGTGTGATGGATATTCCCTTTGGGGAAGATGTGGAAGCACACGCCTACCCACAGGGCTAATCTAGGAGCGGTTTCTGGATGGAAACTGGGGTTCAGGGGAGGTGCCGTAAAGTAGGAGCTTCCTGCTTTATGGGTCGGCTCCTCCTGCTCCCTTTCAGCCAGTAGGCTCTTGGCAATGACGACTTGTCCACAGCTCTCTGGTAAACTGTCACCCACTCCTGGGTCAAATCCTGGTACTTATTTGTTAACCTGATTGATTGAATATATTCCTTTCCTTCCAGAGGAGATCACATACCATTTACCTGGGTCCTTCCTTACTCTCATTACAGCATCTCATTTCCTCCCTTATTATTATACGGATGAAAAATTGACTCCCCATCGATCAATACTCCTCCCACACCTCCCCTTCTCAACTGCTCCCCTTGTCTCTAACTGTACTTAGAACTTCACAGTTCAGTCACATTCCTTCTTTCCTTAGGAACTTTGCAATATCTGTGTCAACAGACTGCTTTCTTGCCGCAAACCAGAGGAAAAATTGTGCTTTTCAGACGAAATTTGAACCAGCTAAAGGGTCCACTGAACTAGTTCAAATGTTCATTAAAAAGAAACTATGCTTTACCATTAAAAAATGAATTGGCACCAATGGGAAAATCAACTGTATATAGTTTTCCTGGAATCCCTTTAAAATCCCAGGGTTTAGACAGAAATATCGAGCGACAAATGGAACCTTCCTCTCTCGTACACTATTAACTGTATATTCATAACTGCTGGGGTCATGTTCCTATTATTGAGTCATAGAGCAATGAGTCTATGTGGACTGTGATGGGCAGGAGAGAGCCTCCAACCTTGGCTTGAGGGAAGCAACAGAAGGCAGGAAAGATGGTGGCCTCATGTTGCCACACTGGCACACCAGGGGGTGTTCAGAATCAAAAATAAAGTTCATCAATGGCCCACAGACCTGTGTGAGCTTGCTTGCGATTTACATAGATTTTTCTATGGCGTTTGAGTCTTGTCACCTGCTACAATGCTTAGTTGAACTTGATTTTAAATTCAGTAAAATTAATTGTCTGAGGCTGACTCCTCTCCGCTCCCCCCCCCCAAATAAATAAATAAAAGGTTGCAGTTTGTACAGTCTGACAGACCTGGCCTTGAATGGTCCCCCTGCCACATTCCACTGGGTTATATTAACATCCACTGAAGACTTGCTGGTATCAGTGCCTTACAAAGATGCATCATCTCCTTTTATCCTCAGAACATTAAGTGGGCTACTATTGCCACCCAATTTATGGCTGAGGATGAGGCAGTACAAGTGGAATAGGGAAACTAAGACAGGTAGCAGAGCAATTTACACAGGTACACAAGGTCACCTCCATAGAAATAACATGTAGATCTCTGTGTATTTCAGTTCCAGACCCAGAAAAGCAGCAAAACCAGGTGGGCAACACCAGGATCAGCTGCAGTGACTGAAGACCCCCTGCCCTGACACTGACCAATCAGTGGAGACCACGACCCTGAAAGAGTAAACCTGGAAAACTGACAAAGATTCTGCTGAAACTCTCCCCTGAGACCTAAGATTCTCACCAGTGAGAAAGAGATTAAAGCCTCAAGAGAAGGGATCCAGTGTGCCTGTGCGTACTCCCTCTGGAGAGCAGCCCTGTCATTCCCTCTTCCCTCTTCTTCCCTCACAGGCATGGATCTTCTAACCCTAAAGCAGCGGTTGCTAACATTTCGGACCTCAGGAACCACGAGTGGTCCGCGGACCACCGGTTGGTGACCGCTGCCCATGACACATGAGGCTTGCAACCAGGGGAGCAATTGGCAGCAGCAGCTTGTCCCAGGCTAATCCCTTGAATCTGATTCCAAGCGCCCCTGTTCTCTGGCTTCCCAGTGAGTTAAGGCAACCCATCCTAGGCTCTCCTGTTGTTTCTTCTATGCTAAACCCTTTGTTGTTTTACTGTCCCCAGCTTTAATAAATGTTCCCTCATAGTCACCTGGACTTGTGTTGAGAAATTTTTCCTGCATGAAGTCAAGAACCCACACACTACCTGCTCGCCCTAGGCAGACCCAGTAAGGAGGAGACGGAGCCATAGTTGAAAGGACTTACACAAAGTCACATACTTTGAAAGTAGTGGTCTTATAATTTGATCCAAAGTCTACCCATTTGCAAAGTTTTTCCTCTACACTTACTATTTCCAGTTTCTAAATGGGGAAGTCTGAGGGAAATCAGACCTACTTTTTAAGATTATGTATGCTATGTATTGTTCAGACACCCCCCCACACACACAAACTGGGTTTGAACCCTGGCTCTGCCCTGGCCTCCTTTAAATAGCTGAGCTGAGTTCTGAGTCATTTGCATAAGAGAACAAGCCATTGTTGTCTATCTGGGAGTGGTCCTGGTGATCACATGCACATAAAAATGAGACTGACTGGGAATTGAACTGGCAACCTTTCAGTGCACACTAGTAGGAGGATGCCCAACCAACTGAGTCACACCAGACATGCCTCTCCTAGCTCTTAAATTTATGCTGCTGAAATTGGGAAGGAAGGTGGGGGAAAGACCCTATCATTGACAAATTCCCTTTTCACTGGTATTCTCAGTGCCATGAATTCATAAGTAACAGATGCTACAACAGCTAGGATTACCAGAAAAACACAATGCACAGTGCATGGGGAAAAATATGAGAGAGGAAAATGCATTTCCGTATCCAAGAGGACTGATTGTTAAGCAGCAGTGAGAATTTAAAAGCCAATCTCTGAACTGCCTCAAACAAGTGCCTCTGGAGTGTTCTGGCAGGCTGATGAAGAGGACAAATTCAGGAATTGCAATTCAGAGCAACTGGCCATTCATCCTGAAAACACATGTGCTCTGGGCATTATTTATCCCGCAGTTATCTTTCATTGCTAAATGAATCTGCGGCATCGCCTGTTTGTTCCCTGATTCTTTGATGCCTGGTGTCAACCAGGCGGTTAATAACTGTCAACTGAGATACTGTATTGGAGGGACTATATATATTCAGTGAAAGATTAAATTAGGAACACAGCCAGACCACCTACTGGGCAGGAAAGTATTCTTCACTAGAAAATAACATTACCATCCTAAGGATAAAAAGAATTTCAAGTGAGAGACTTAGGATTTTCCTCCCCAAAATGCAGGGTGTGAATTATCACCATCAACTTGGGCTATGTGTGGCTTGGTCTACTTTAAAATGCCCGCCTGGCCCATCCTTTGTCTATCACAGGCTTTGAGACTCATTTCTGCCCAGAATTGAGCTGATGAGCCCCAGCACACCCATATCATTCTTTGTATCCGAACTCCTCAAATCAAAACATTCAGGCAGAATGACAGAATTGAAATAACACTGACTTCGTAGTCAGAACACCAGAACTTGATGTTTTCCTTCCCCTCTTTTTACTGGCCCTCAGGTCCCCCATCAGTAAAGCATGGTCTCACATAAGGATGTGTGCTGTAGCAAATTGCAAGCATTGCCTTGTAATAGTCTTCCCATTGTTTGCAGTATGTGTAGTTTGTTCAAACTTGGTTGGCCCATCAGAGGACTATTATGAGGAATGCAGTTCAGATTTAAAAAGTGAGCCAACTTGTCATAGGTGTTCAAGTCCATGTAAGATGAAGGCAGACTCCTGACATGCAAAGAAAATACAAAACTGAGACTTGGGGTGGTTAGGGCTCAAGGAAGAATAGCTCTAGTGGACAGGATAGAACTCGGCCCCAGGGCAGAGTTGGGCTCTCTTTGCACTCCCAGACTGAAGTCAGTGGTCGTCCACCAAAACTAGCTAAACAAAACCAGGAAATCAAGATGCTAAGGATAAATCTACCGTGGCATTTTTATCTCTGTAGGCCCCCACAAAGCTTTAAGACAACTGTTTTTTATCACATTTGGGCTACTGATTAAAAAAATAAATCAGAGTTACCCAAAATAAATAAATAAATGGCAGGCTATAAATGTTCAGAGAGCCACACCTGTGCGAGCAGTAACAGAATTCTAGTCCCTACCCAACCTGAAGGAAATACAATAGTCCCCACTTATCCTTGGTTTCAGTCACCCCAAGTCAACGGTGGTGCAAAACTATTAAATGGAAAATTCCAAAAGTAAACAGTTCACAAATTTTATACTGAACACCATTTTGAGTATTATGATGAAATCTTGCACCATCCTGCTCCATCCTACCCCGGACGTGAAACCATATCTTTGTCCACCATATCCACACTGTATATGCTCCCTGCCCAGGAGTCATTTGGTAGCTGTCTCGGTTATGAGAGAGAGATGAGAGTGGGAGGACTACTGTATAGCATTCTCAGAAACATGGTTGCTATAAAATTCAAAAATCAGTAATATTTATTCTTTGCTTTTCTTTGATTTTTGGTTCTACTCTTGTCATTGGATTATAATAGAAACAGCTAACACTGAGACTTCTTAGATATCAAACACTATACAAACACTTTATATAGAAGTAGCTTATTTAATCCTCATAATCAACCCTTCTACAGATGAGAATATGCAGACTTAGAGAAATGAAGCACTAGGTTCAATTGATAGAGCTCCTTTGAATATAATTGATGGAGTCAGAGATTGAACTTAGTTCTGGATGATTCTGCCAGGAGAGTTTTTGTGACCTGAGTCATTTCATCTCTGGCACTGCTCTTTGCTCCTCTGAAAACAGACCTACCTGCAAGGAATGATCAAGCACAGTGGCTATGGCCTATCTCTGGGCTTCTTCACATGGCATCGATAGGCAGATCTGCATCATTTACAACCTCTAACTTATTCTGACACATTTCTTGGTGCTCCATTCACCTTAGACACTCGCTTGAGCTCTAGTAGTTAATCTGACTGTGCTCACATGCAATACCATGAATTATTGTTACACAACTGTACCTTTCCAATCCTGTATTTCATAACTGCGGAATGAAATGTGATATATCTGATAGGTATTTTCTAAGTGATATATTTAGAAAATTATTACTTTCTGTGGGTATTTTTTAGAGCAAATGTTTAGAAGAGTTATAATTTAATAGTCTATCTCTGCTACAGAAAGCCAACCTTTAGTTTATATATCCAAATATTTTGTACAGGCTGTTAAGACAATCAGTGTTTCATACATTCTCCTCTTGCCATTGTGAAATTGCTTCTTAAATAAGAACACTAACAGCATGTATCTTGAGAGACTCTATTGTTCAGAGAGTATAAATTTTTTTTAATAAAAATTAAATAAACATTACTAACAGAACTTGGTTGAATACCCAAAATCAACTGAAGGCTGGGCAGTTTTTTTTTTCCTTTAAAACCCACATCTGCTCATCACTTGAAATTTTACCCCTACCCTTTTCATTCTTGTTGCCCCTGAGCATCTGTAATTGGCATCTCAGATTTCCTATTTAGTGAAGGGTCTGAAATCCCAGTATCCAAATTTGTGACACATCTGAAATGCTCAGTTTGGCTGCTTCAAAGAACCATCTGGGTTGGTTCAGCTGGGTAGATTGGGTATGAGCCAGGTTAAAAAAAATACAGGGGATGGAGTTGCCTTTCAAGAGTTTGGTTGTTTGTGCTTTACAGATTTGGCCATAAAGTCATAAATTAGGAAACAGTCTCAATGGGTGAAAATCCTTTCAAAGAATCATCCATTCTAGTCTTGACTTAGTACTTGGAAAGCTCTTCTTCATAACTAATCTAACATGGTCTTGCTATGATTAACGGAAAGGCCACATTGCGTTAACTTCAGCCTAGAGAGGAAAATCTCCCAGGCAATCGTACAAAGTTGTAAAACTATCACGGTAAACTCATGATCAGAGAGATGATAGGAGTTAGGAATAATTGAGGATTTCAGGTAACTGCTGGCTCAAACCTTCTTCCAATCAATAATAATCTCTCTCCAAAATGTCTGATTTTACTTTCTGGACATAGTAGCCTTCACTCTTCTTTCTGTCCTTCAGTGGTCTCATTTTTATCTGCATTTGGGTTGCATTTCACTGGAACATCTCAAGTGTTGGCCACTGACTTTCTAAATTGGAGAGGCTTAAGAAGGCAACCATTATTCCACTGATCATCCTCTGCTATATTGAATATATTCCACCTAGCATCCCAGGTGACTTTTCAAAACATGTCCTCATTCATTCAACCTCTTCTTAACTAAATGTTCCTATAACTGCTTGACAAGGTTTGGCCTCAATACAATTCTGGGACTGAAGGGAACTCCTCCAAAAAAATGAGAAACTCAAAATGACACATCTCCTTATAGATGACCCTTCCACAGGGTGTCTAGTCACTCCAGACCCTCCCTCTGAAAAAGATGCCCAAACCAGACTTATTTAGTTCTACCTCATCGCAGAACGTCACCACTTCTCTCCATTTCTCAAACCAAAAGCCTAGAAGTCATTATTGATTAATTTATGTCTCTCCTAGAACATCAGTGAGTCCTGACCCCTCAACCTCCAAATTTTATCTCCAGTATATCACCTTCTTACCAACTCCACTCAAATCAGCCTTTAAATAAAATAATTATCTCTCATCGTAACAGCTTCCCCCCTGGTCTCCCAATTATTACTCTAGCCTCCTTGCCATCCATTATTTTTAGGCAAATAAAGACATTATAATCTTACACTCAGAAATCACCACCATGGTTAACGCTATGTCTTCATACATATTTTCTATGAGTGTATGTGTAATATACATACATTGTTTCTTAACCAAATTGAAAATATATTTCCCCTACTCTTTTATAACTTTTTTCTAGTTGATAATATCACCTGTGCATTTCAGTAATTTCTAAAATTTCTCCAGTGATCCAAAAATGTCTTTACAGCTTATTTTCCCCTAATTCAACACCATACTTTAATCATACTCATAACCTAGCATAGTCCCTCTCTTATGTTTCTGACTTCTTGAAAAGACTGAGCCAATTTTCTTAACATCCTTTCTTCACAAAGAAGTCTGACATTTGTTTCTGTAAATGTAAATCAGATTAGTTGACCCTCTTTTTTAAACATATTAAGAGCCTCTCACTGTATCTAGAGTAAAATGGAAACTTCTACTATGGCCTACAGGTCTTATGATCTGGCCTCTGCCCAACCTCACTGACTTAACCTTCTAACTACTCTTCTCACAAAGTACCAGTCATACAGGCCTAATCTCTGATCCTCAGAGATGCCAAGCTTTTCTTATCTCAGCACCTCTGTGCTTGCCCTCTTCTCTGACATTCTCATAGTCTTCAGGTCTCAGTTCACATTATACTGCTTCTGAGAAGTCATCCATTTTCCAATATAAAGTAGTCGATGTCCCCTATCTTTGGTGACTCCTAATGAACCATGCCTCTGTTTTATGCCCTTGTGTGACCCCCTCCCACACTGACTCTGGGCTTGCCCATGTGACTTGGTTTGGCTAATGGGACATCCAAAAACATGACAACCAGCTATGCATTGAGAGCACTTACACATTGGAGCTTGTGCACTTACTAGTAGTGTCTAGCTGCCATTCTATAAAGAAGCTTAGGGAGGAATATGGAATGATGACAAAGTGAAGAGACCCTGGAGGATGAGAAGTCATCGTGGGATGTTCCAGCCCCAACTGACCTCCCAGCTGAATGCAATTGCATGAGTAACTTTAGCTATCGCACATGGAGGAAGAGGACCACTCAGTTGATCCAGTCAACTCAAGAATCGAGAGAATTGATAAATCATTGCTGTTCTAAGACAGTACTTTTAGGTTGGTTTTCACACTGCAACTGATAAGTTTTTTCTTTTAATATACTTCATAGCATTTATCACCATCTGAAATAACCAAGCATTCCTGTTGACCTGATTATTTCCCATCTCCTGCCATTGTAAGCTCCATGATAATAAAAATTTTTGCCCGATTATTTACCACTGTATCTTCAATGCTTCTGAGAGTGCCTGGCACCTAGTAGGCACTCAATAAAAATTATATAGTGAATGAATGATATATGCATCCCTATGTTCATAGCAGCACAATTTACCATAGCTAAGATTTGGAAACAGCCTAACTGCCCATCAGCAGATGAATGGATTAGAAAACTGTGGTACATCTACACAATGGAATACTATGCTGCTGTAAAAAAGAAGGAATTCTTACCATTTGCAACAGCATGGATGGAACTGGAGAGCATTATGCTAAGTGAAATAAGCCAGTCAATGAAGGAAAAATACCACATGATCTCACTCATTCATGGATAATAAAGACCATTACAAACTTTTGAACAATAATAGATACAGAGGCAGAGCTGCCTCAAACTGATTGTCAAACTGCAGCGGAAGGCCAGGGAGGGTTGGGGGGCAGGAGGGAGGGGGGTAAGAGATCAAC